AGTATATTAAATGCATGCAGTTACTCAAACACTTTTAAAATTCCATTTTGCGGCCATACAATGCACCATCTAATTTGATTTGAGATATAACCAAAACCTGAAAGCTTTTTTTTTTTTAAACCAAACACTTACTAAAACTGTCTGTGCTGAATTCAATGCTCTTTGTGATGCTTTCATCCTTCCACATTCTTCATGGTCAACACATCTCCATGTTTCAGTGGTAATTTACAGGCTAAGCCATGAAAATTAGAGATCCAAAGAAATGTTTTGTAGAATTTATTCAGGGTCAAATAGAAAAACACACCCAGGTGACCCAAAATAAATTCTACAAGACATTCTGAGATGTCAAGACCACTGAGTACATGCACATCATCTTCTCAAAGCAGTTCTGCAGGAATATCCCTAACTTGTTTAGACAATACTGTAGTCATATACTTTACATATGATCCACATGCCATAAATATTCACAAGTTAAATTGTTTTTTTCCCCCTGCAATCTTGTGTAAGAGTTACATTACCACTACTGCAAACTGTCTGATTACATCTACAACAAACATGAAAAACTCATATAAGAAGGCTCTCTAAAATGTCTTGAATAAGACAGATAGTCCTTGCCACATATCTCGCTCAATGGGCACTGCTCTCCTGAGAACAACAATGAAAGCTCTGTGGCCAATTATAAAAGGACAGCCGCCGTCTTCCTGCGAGTCTGCTACTGTCAGACTGTTTTTCCCCCCTTTTTCTTTCAATCCCCTCTTTTTGGGGGCCCTTTTGCAGCTTTACTTTAGAGTGGCCCCTACTATTAAATGAGAGTCCTCAACCAGGCGGGGTGTACTTGCCCACTCAGACACAATCAGAGATAGCCTGAGTCCACCCAAACACCCCACTCTGCCAAACCCGGCCCACACATTCAAGCCAGCTGAGTGTCTGAAGTCTCATAGGTAAACAAGGTCATTATTGTCTCACAAGGACATGAAAAAAAAAAGACTAGATTTCATTTCAGTATAGATGGATTGTATGAAGGACATTTTGAGAACATTTAGCTGTATAAAGCATGCTAGTATTCATAAAAAAAATAAAAAAAATTAATTTATATA